ACCTATGTGACTGCTGTTAGTATACCCGTGTTTGTTAAATAAAAATATATCATTGTCTATTTTATTATGCAAATTTGCCTATGAAGTATTATCTTTTTTTTTTTTCTTTTTGAGACAGGGTCTCAGTCTGTTTCCCAGACTGGTGTGCAGTGGTGTGATGGTGTGATGAGAGCTCACTGCAGCTTCCATCTCCAGGGCTCAAGTGGTCCTCTCATCTCCGCCATCTGAGTAGCTGGGCTACAGGCATGCACCACATTGTTTTAGTAGAGACAGGTGTTGCTGCTGCCCAGGCTGTCGTGTTTTCCTGTTTCTTAAATAAATCTCCTCTGAAAAATGTAAATAAATGTCTTTTAAGTAATTTAAATTTTTTCCCCAAAATATCTTTGGAATTTTATCTTTCAGAATTTTAACATTTGGGCTTGTCTTTTGGGACTATGATCAGCTCCAAAGAGGCACAAATCTGGTCCCTTCATCCTGCTGCTTACTATCCTTCTTCGCATTCCCTTTACTTTCAGAATTAAATCCAAACACTTAAGCATGGTCCACAGGCCTCCATGATCTATCTGGCTGTGCATCTCAAGCCACTGTCCCACTCCTTTTCCTCTAGCCGTTTTTTTTTGTTTTTTTTTTAAGATGGAGTTTTGCTTTTGTTGTCCAGGCTGGAGTGCAATGGTGCAGTCTCGGCTTACCACAACCTCCGCCTCCTGGGTTCAAGCGATTCTCCTACCTCAGCCTCCTGAGTAGCTGAGATTACAGGCATGCCCCCACCACACCTGGCTAATTTTGTATTTTTAGTAGAGATGGGGTTTCTCCATGTTGATCAGGCTGGTCTTGAACTCCTGACTTCAAGTGATCCAACCGCCTTGCCTCGGCCTCCCAAAGTACTGGGATTACAGGCGTAAGAGGTTCCCCGCCCGACTTCCTCTAGTTTTAATGAACTCCTTCCAGTTTCCACACCAAAGGCTCTTTCTTCCCTTAGAGAGTTCTGTTTTCTCTGACCAGGAGTCTCATCTCCCACACATCTTTATCCCCCTCCCCATGATTTTTCAAGTTTTATCTTCAATACAACTTCCTCAGGAAAGCCTGACCAGCCAGGCAAAGTTAAGTCTTTCTTGGATATCATCTCACTGCTCCTTGCTCTTCTGAGGACAACTGTGGTTGAAAAATTCTTTGATAATTCTGTTTAGTGCAAGTTCCAGAATTAATGTTCCTTGAGTGTACAGACAGTATTTTCTAACTCTTTGTCCTCTACAGGGCAGTGCATATGGGAAGTACTCAATACATTTCTTTAGTAAATACTGAATGGGTATTCAGCGGGTAGTTGACAAGTCTACTTTTCATATGGTAGGTGTGCCAAATAAGGGTGGCAGCTATTTACTAAATGAGTCATCTTGCTGGAAGGCAAAGAGATTTACTAATTGATCACTGAAGATGAGCTGGTTATGGGGACTGAAGCCCTAATGGGCATAAAAAGCAAATTTTTATTGGTCTTTTTGTTTCAGTCCACGAGGTCACAATGTACCCTATTGCTTCTGAGCAGAGTAGGCCTAGGTAGGCAGCAAAGATGGCAGGTCTAGTTTTGTAATTCCAGTCCAGAATTTATAATCATTCAGGGAAGGCTGCAGCAGTTACCACTGCTCATACCCTCTAGCTTTCTTTACTGTGGTCCCTCCCTTGAGGTCAGATATGATACCAGTGGACACTTAATTGCTATTTGTTGGTAGGAGGAAAAAATAACCTTCACTGGCAAAGTGTAGTATTTTTTTTAAAAAAAATATTTAGTTCTTACTTCAAAGGAAATTGCAGCTATTGTCAGTTATGAATCTTTATAAAAAATATAGATGCTTTTTTTTTTTTTTTTCCTGAGATGGAGTCTCACACTGTCACCTGGGCTGGAGTGCAATGGCGTGATCTTGGCTCACTGCAACCTCCACCTTCCAGGTTTATGCAATTCTTCTGCCTCAGCCTCCCAAGCAGTTGGGATTACAGGTGCATACCACCATCCCCGGCTAATTTTTTGTATTTTTAGTAGAGACAGGGTTTCACTATGTTGGCCAGACTGGTATTGAACTTCTGACCTCATGATCCACCTGCCCTGGCTTCCCAAAGTGCTGGGATTACAGGTGTGAACCACCGCACGCAGCCTGGATTCTTTTTCTTTTTTTTTGAGACACAGTTTCGCTCCTGTTACCCAGGCTGGAGTGCAATGGCGTGACCTCAGCTCACCGCAACCTCTGTCTCCTGGGTTCAAGCAATTCTCCTGCCTCAGCCTCCTGAGTAGCTGGGACTATAGGCGTGCGCCACCATGCCCAGCTAATTTTTGTATTTTTAGTAGAGACGGGGTTTCACCATGTTGACCAGGATGGTCTCAATCTCTTGACCTCGTGATCCACCTGCCTCGGCCTCCCAAAGTGCTGGGATTATAGGCGTGAGCCACCGCGCCCGGCCGGATGTTTTCTTACATACTGTAATCCTATTTCACACTGAACAAAAATGCCATTCCTAGGCATCATCTAATACCCAATACTTAATCAAATTTTCATAACTGTATACTAAAGTCTTTGTATCTTTGGTTTGCTAAAATCACTTATGATGCATTTTTGTAATTTCTTACATTTCTTTTAATCTAGAATAATACCCTCCTCTCCCCTCCTTTTTTTCTTTTTTTTAAGATAGTCTCATTCTGTCGCCCAGGCTGGTGTAGTAGTACAATCATAGCATTCACAGCTCATTGTAGCTTTGATCTCCTGGGCTCGAGCAATCCTCCCACCTCGGCCTCCTGAGCAGGTGGGACTACAGGCATGAGCCACCATACCCAACCTCCTCCCTTTTCTTCTTCATGCCACTGAGGTGTTGACTAACGTATAGTCTCTGTTAGACAAACTTACATTTATCCACTAACTGCCAGGAATGACTAACAGGTAGGGATTTCAGGACAATCAGAAGAATGGAAAGACAAGGCTGGGAGCAGTGGCTCAAGCTTATAATCCCAACACTTTGAGAGGCCGAGGCAGGCGGATTGCTTGACGTCAAGAGTTCCAGACCAGCCTGACCAACATGGTGAAACCCCGTCTCTACTAAAAATACAAAAATTATCTGGGCATGGTGGCGCAGGCCAATAGTCCCAGCTACTCGGGAGGCTAAGGCAGGAGAATTGCTTGAATCTGGAAAGCGGAGGTTGCAGTGAACCAAGATTTCACCACTGTACTCCAGCCTGGATGACAGAGCAAGACTCCATCTCAAAAACAACAAAAAATAAGAATGGAAGGACAAAAAACCATTTTGGATCAGGCAGTTACCATGACAAGTCCATTTTGCTAAACCATAAAGATAATCCTAATTTTCAGAGAAGCCATAAAAACCAAGACATTGAGCGTTAGCCATGGAGTCTCACTGACTTGATGCTAGTATCTCAGAACCACTACCCTCACTAATGTGTAATCACTGTGTGACAAATGAAGGAATCTGTAGCTTATTTAAGACTGGACTAATTTCTGTGATGTCCACACAAAACTGGCTACTCCAAAGATATGTCTGCTTGTGCAGATTAGCTATTTATTTTTCACTTAAAAAAATCCCCTCCATTAAAAAGGTGTAAGAAAGTGATCTACAGGTTAGAATAAGATGGCACAGACTAATTTACAAAAAAGATGACACACGTTCCTCATTAATTTATCATTTAATATAAATGCTGACAGAAAGCAGATAAAGACCTTGTAGACACTTTCATATATTTACAATCCAAAAGGTGAATCACCTCCTTCTACTTGTTAAAATAAATCCTTTTATCTGCAACTCATGGGAGCCTTAAACACTAATTAGGAGCAACATGAGGCTGAGTCAGTTTCCAAGGTAATAAAGAAATAGCATTTTAACAAAATGGGCATCTTTGATATAAACATGCACACAAATAATACAAAATTGAAAAAGATGGCACTAGTACTCTAAAAAATCAGCAACAAGTGGGAACATGTACTTATTTAGACCAAAGTTCTGCTGCCATAAACATTTTCCTACTATTCCTTTTTTTCCACCACACTTGTTTTGAAAGCTGCTTAACAATCAGAAATATTAAACAGATTAAAAACAAGAGAAAAACGCTCCATTTCAAATAGGGTTCTTTTTCCTACTCCAAAAGAACTCTCAGGAGATAATGTCTTCAGTAAGACTTCACAGTTTGCCAGATCCTAAGGAATTATTCACAGCTTGTGAAATTCCAACCCATTCGTCTTCGCCATTCCAACCTATTTGTCTTCACTTCCCTCTTTAAAGTTGGAAACACTTGGAAAAAGTAAAATTTCACAAAATTCAGCAATTAAAAAAATCAGCTGTCATGTTAAGTCTCTCTTTTTTTTTTTTTTTCCTGAACACGTGGGTGGAGGCAGGCAAGAAACAATAGGGAGCTGAGGCAATAAAAAAACAAACAAAAATGCAAGAAAACCTTAAAAAATGGTGTGTCTACCACTGATTTATAAAAGGAGATATAAATTCTAGCCAAAACTGTAAGTGATTTCATAAAGTCACTTATAACCTGACTCAAATCTCATGGGCTCCTTTATTAACCTAGATTATTTTTGTCTTGTTAAATATACCTCTGCAGGGCACAATCACTTACAATCAATACGATTGGTAAATTACACAAGCTCTATCCCAAGCAAATATGCACCAATGTTAAGAAGTTATTAAAAATAAAAATAAAAAATAAAAATAAAACAAAATAAAATCCACCCAAAAAGGTGATAATGACTGCAGAATGTCTCGGGGAGACTGGTATGAGCCTAAAGACCAAATTACCAAAGTCAGAGCAAAAGGGCAGCAGGGGTAACAAGGGGAAGAGACCACACACACGAAGAGGAATCTCAAAACTGGAAAATGTTTAAGTGGGTAAAAGGTTTTGTTCATTACCTTAATTCACTTTTTCCATTGTTCTTGTACCAAGAAGTCATAGAGTAATTATAAAGAAAGATAATGAGGCCTATGGACCAATTAATTAAAAAAAAAAAAAGTTCCTTTTATTCCCAGGAAGTGGGAAGAGAAAAAAGGATGAACAGGGGAGAAGTGTGAAAATTTAGGCAACGATCCATCTGGAAAAAGCATCTCTCAGGACAGTGTCTTAGTTGAATAGAGGATGTAAAAACCATAAGCAAAAGCTAAATGCCTTTAAATCAAAGAACTATTTTATCGGGTAGTTCAGCTATTAGGAGAATGACAGCCAATCAATGGAGAGAGATCACACTAATAAATGGTGATTTTTAAAAAAGAGGCCAAAAAAAAAAAAAAACACCCAGCAACCAATTATCCATCCAATAGTTTGTTTCTATCCTTTTCTTGACCCTTTCATACACTCATTGGGGTGGGGACCACCTGACAGTTTCCAGTTATAAGATGACTCTGAGTGTACAACCTAAAACGGATGCCAAAGACTTGTGAGCTCTGTCTGCTTAGAGTTAGAACAGAAACAAAAACCAAAACCAATCTGAAACAGTAAGACCTCAATACAAGGAAACAAATCATCTAGTATAAAATAAACATGAGGATAACAAACTCCACAGGGTTTTATTTTTCTAACTACACACTTTTGGACACAATATTATCTTGAGGTTTAAGCTCTTCCCCCTTATTGTGCCTTATTTTCTTGTGAAAATAAAGTTTGTTCTCTAGTGATGTTTTGTTCAGGGATAAAGTTTAGGAGGAATTCAGTGTTTGGCTGAAAATCCAGAGGCTCTGAAAACAAGGATTCCAGTGGTGAGGTAAGCTCCTTTATTACAACAGGATTTCAAAGGGCACTTTACCCACTTTGTTCAGTGCAGTATTGAAAACATACCTTTTAGGAACACATTTATTATAAAAAGGTGTTATTTATTCCTGGTGGTGATAGTTTCTTATTCTTTATTAGTACTATAGCTAGTATTACTTATCGATTATAATCTATTACTTGTGAAAAGATCTTTAGTGAACACAGAACCGAATCTTAAAAATTCAAATCTTAAGATGTACTTACTACAATTAATACTACCTTTTGACAAAACAGCTTTCTTTTTGAAGTGGCTCAGAAAAGCTAAATTGAGAAATTTTTTAATAGTAACTATCATCAATCTACAACTCCCAGTAAGTCATTTCAGCAGGAAAATTTCATAAACCTGAGCTGAAGCTACAAATAAATATAAAAATCATAGCTGTCCAAGGTAGAAAGGTGGGCACTCTGGTAAAATAATGACAGTAGTAGACTTCTTGCTTGTTCAAGAGCTAATGATGAAAGTAAAATTTGCTTTAGTTTAGTAGCTCTAATTTTTCTTAAAAGGATAGGCAGATTTTTCAGGGGAAGAAATCACCTTATCATCAATTAAAAATTTAACACACTTAGACTCTTTGCAGGGGGAAAAATCTAAGTAAACACTGTAGTCCCTAAATTTCCCGGTAGGTTATTAATCTCTCCTAAAAAGTAACTTCCCCATTCCTTTCAATGACATATAATCATTACAGGTGCTTTTTACAGACAGATTTTACATGTAAAACATTTACTCAATTCTTTAAAACGAGCAAAAAGAGAGTAGAAAAATGGTGAGACTGCTACCCACCACCATTTGTATATAAGTGACAGCAACTAAATACTTCTTTTTCTTTTTTTCTGGGTGGGTTTCCAAGGAGCTGTGTAAACTGAATACTTCTTTACTGAGACAAATGCTTTTTCTTTTTAGTGAAAATAATTTTTCTTTAATTTTAACAATTTGTACATGTACTGACTATAGTAGTTATTTCTTACCAGTCACATACTCAAGAATTATTTTACTCAGACCCATGACTTGACCACAGTGATAACAGAAGTTGGGGTGGGCACAAATGCTTACACACAATATTATAAAAGATGATATTCACTGGTTTAGAGAAACTGATGAATTTTCATTACTTTTACATTTTATAAGGCTAGCTAACTTTAACAGTTAACTTTAGATAAATCTACTTACACAGTACAATCAACTCACAAATACTAAAAGGTTTCACGATCAAAATGGCTACTACTTCCCCCAAAACCAAAACAGAGTAAAGCACAAGTCTTTGGCTCTCCTTTAAAGAAAACAGCAGGTTACCATTCTTAACCAGACCTTTGTTTGCCTACCAGTAGGGCAAATACCACATTTGTGCATCACTGAGTAATAACACCATTAGAAAAGGCAACTTCACAGAAGTTATTGGCTAAGCGAATTCATTTGAATGCTCTGTTTTGAGGCAGCAAACTGTCACTGTTGCAGATTGGGGAGGGCATTGGGTAAGTCAAGGGGAAATTACAGGGTGGACAAAGGTCAAGAAAAAAAGACATTTATGGAAAAATGTAAACTTTGAGCTCCATCCCTGAAGAACTCTGGAAAGTCTGATGGAGTTTTATACTCAAAGTAGCAAATGAGAATCATACCAATATTCTGTCTTTCAGGCAAAAGAAATACATGGGAAAGAATGGAAGGGAAGGGAAATAAGATGGGAGCAAGGAGACACCAACATTAATGCTGTACCAAACCATTTTTAAAATACATTCTGAGTAGTTGAATATTTGTTGTTGGCATTAGGAATAGTGTCTTATCAATACCTAGAATAATATTATTAGAAATTTATGCTAACTTTTAATTAGAAAAGTAATAAGTAATGGATCTTTGGTCACTTCAGCCTCTGAATTATCCAAGACAGGACAGCTATTGGACTTATCTTGTGACAATATTATGTATAAATTATGCAAAAGAGCTACACATAAAACAGAAATTGAATCTAGGTGTCTTATTTTCTGTTCTTCTACCCTTTTCTAGAGACCCCTTGAAAAAAAGAGTAAGTCAAAGTACTTTTATAATTCTCACTATAAATAAAATTCCCTTACCTATAAATGAGTGAACACAATGCTTATTACTCCTACCTTAGCCTATTCAGAATTGTTCATTTCAGATGGCCAATTTTTGCTTTTGAATTTAGTGAAATACAAATAAAGTAATATTTAGAAGAAACTAATACTTTAATAAGTAGAAAGCATAGAAACTGTATTTCATATCTGGTTTAATCTTTGTCTCTTGAAAAAAAAATTTAAAAGCCAGAAGGAATGGATACCTTTCAGATTTTGATTTTAGAAAAGTAGTTACAAAGTCAAGCAGTTATGCCCAAATATGCCACTTGTCCTTACAGGCTCATGATATCACAGAAAAAAGGAAAGGGAAAAAACCCCCAAATTTTGGGGCTGTTCGTGAATTCCTAAAACCATTGATGAGCACTAGGAAAGTTGCAAGAATTTCCATTAGGTAAGGCAGAATGACTAATTTAAAATACATTGTAGGCACAATGGGATAATATACCATTCTTGTGATTTGCTACCCAACCAGATTAGCTCTAGAGTGTAGGGCCAAGGAGGGGTACCTTTTGAATTTGGGTTGCAATTGAAGAGACTTTTTCTCCTCCTAAATGAAAATACATGAAAAGATAAAGATACCATTTTAAGTCAAGTTTATACAGTGACTTTCTGGTTTTGTTCAGAACAGGAATACTGTATAGACTAATCCCTGTTCCTGCCTACTTCACAGAATCAAAATGACAAAAGACAAGAACAAGTATATTTAAAGGAAATAAGAACAAGAATAACAGAAATTGAGCTATTAGGGGTTTCAATTGCTACCCCAAATCAATCTTTACTTTTATCGTAAACTTAAACAGAAATCAATACCCACAAATTATCTTCTAATACAAGAATCATTCTGAATTCCAAAGTGAATCAAATTGAATCAAAGTGAATCAATTGCTTCTAAAATTTAGGATGATCTAACATATTCAAAGGAGAAGTAAGTTGATCCAAATCTGCCTATAAGAAGGCTGGAATACAAAAATTAGCTGGGTGCGATGGCATGTGCCTATAATCCCAGCTACTCAAAAGGCTGAGGCAGGAGAATCGCTTGAACCCAGGAGGTAGAGGTTGCAGTTAGCTGATATCACGCCATTGCACTCCAGCCTGGCGAAAGAGTGACACTCTGTCTCAAAAAAAAAGAAGGTTGGAGGCCGATAATGTTGCCTTTTACAGTTATGCAGATAAATGAAAAACCTTGGGACTATGTCAGACATACATAAATTTCTTTCCTTCTCCCAATAAACAATAGGCATTTAAAGTGTAAATGTGAAAGGGTTTTAAGTGAAAGTCAAAAAGCAAACAAAATCAAAAAATAATAATAATAATAAAATAAAACGTCAAAAGCATTTTTTAAAAAAGAAAGAAAGAAAGAAAGAAAAATGCATAAGTCAACTGAAAAAAAATGCCTCATCTTCATTCAGTGCTTCTACCACTTCCCAATCGGTCAATTTATCGCAACAGCTGCGCTCATGCGAAAAAATCCTTAAAACATACCCAATATATATACAGATATAGCTATGTATATATGTATATATATAATATATATATAAATTTTTATTTAAATAAAAAAGAAAGCTCGAATCCCAAGCCAATATGTGTATATCAAATCCTTGACCAGCCAGGTCTGTAGGGCATAATCAAATTCAATGTGAAATAGTATATAAACACGGTGCCTTGACTGGGCAAATTAAATAATTGCTACTCAAAAGAGTGTTCTGTTTGGACTCTCCTACTGGTAGGCAATGGCAGGACTGTATTACCCTTCCCACCCCCACCACCCATTTGTTTAAGTTAACAGTATGATGGACACAGAGCTTAGACTGAGGTTGTTATGACCTCAGCAGGAGTTAAGGGTTAAGAAAATAAGAAACAAGAAAAATATAAACTCTTGTTTTTACCCAACCAAAGCAATGCAGTAACTTATTACATAACCAGTGCTTTCTAATTTAGTAGTATAATCCAGAAAGGGAAACTGAAAAAATTGGGCAAATAGAGGGATGGAGAGGGCAGCTCTATCAAACAGCCCCCACTAAACATGTTTTACAGGGTCGCAGTTAAGCACAGACACATGGCATCAGAATATGTGCAGCAGAATTAAATAAAAACAAAAAATCCTTAACTCTTTTCAACATTTTCATGAAGAAACATTTTCAATATTGGGCAGCAAAATCTATGAAAAATGACTTCAAACTATTTCCTACCTACTTATACTAATGATTCTGAATAACAAGTAATTCATAAACTATCCTTAAGACGAAATCAGTTTACAAGTAAAACAAAAACATCTATTGAAATAATGTGGCTCTATTCATTTTAAGTTCAAATGAAGTGTTGCAGTTTTAAAATATGGTTGATTGTCCTTGTTTTTGAGCATCCTATGATTTCGGCAAAAGTTTAATTTGAAAAGCACTGCTCCAAATTTCCAACCATGAGCTGAATGCAGGCAAAACACCAAACACGTATTTTCAGTACTACAGTTACAATAAGTTACAGTCAATTCTTAATCACCGTTTAAATCTAATTAAACAACTGAACACTGAATCAGCTTTCTAATTATATTAAGAGAATGCAAATGATCCTTAATATGAAAATAAGGACTTCAAAAATTGGTAATTCTCTCTCTGAAAAGTTAAAATAAAAAAAAATAAAACCTTCCTAAACAATCAAACAAAAGTTTCAATGTCAAGAAAAGCATTCCTATCCAATGAAACTAGTGATCTAGACAGGGATAAAGAATTCCAAATAACAGCTCTGGGAAAAGTTGGTTTGCTGCACATTTTCTAATAACTCAGTCTATTACTGTCTGTTTCTCAAGCATCGCAGAATTCTCCAAAAGCTGACGTTTTTGGTCTGTTTTAAGTTTATAGGGTGGTGAGAGCTGATAAGGATTGGGGGTAAGGAATTATACACTGGGTATGTAATAATACCAAAATACAAGAAAAACCTACTTCATTAAGATCATACAATTAATCAAACAGAGTGTATATATAATATCTTCTTTTTTTTTTTAAAGCCCTGGATCCAAGGCGTCCAAAGTTATTAAAATAAAGTTCATTCACAGAACAAAAACAAATTTAATCTGAATTGCTTGCAGATACTGCTAATTTTCTTTTTCTTTAAATTAAAAAAATGCATTAATGTGAACTATGTGCAGGGTTTGTTTTTAGTAGTGGTGTTTGTGCACATTGCCTCTGGTGAATTTCCTGGATTTCTCTGACTGCTCTTAAGAGAAAAAGTTTAGAAGTTATCCGTTCTCCTACCCCTATGGCCGACAAACCGATTAGGAGCAGAAGATAAAAGTAGGACTCTTCATATTTTAAGGAGCAGAACTGGGAGTAACTCCTGATCTCTGGGAGTCATTATTATCCCCTCCTCCCTCAGGGTCCTCTGATAGGTTCAGAGAGCTGGTCTTGTTTGATAGGAGGCTGATATTCTCTTGTGTCAAGGCTGATCCATTTGGTACATCACTGTTGACATTTCAAAATTTTGAAAAAGGAGAGAAAAATGATTAGTACAATAAAACCAACAGGGCACATCATTTAGCATGATAAAAAAATATATAAATGGTTTCCAAATTTTAATCTACAGCCCCTTATCCATGTTTTAGCACACGGTTAGCAAACTAAAGCTAGCCAGCCAGGTATGTATTTTTCTAACTAAAGTTTTATTAGAATATAGCCTGCTCATTTGTTTAACATACTATACACTGCTTTCAAACCACAGAGCAGAGTTGAGAATTGTGACAAAGACTGTAAGGCCCGTACCTCAAAATACTTACTACCTGGCCTTTAAGAAAAAGTACTGATGCCTGATTTAGCAGGTTTGCTAGTTTAAGAAATAATTTTGGGCTCGTGTCTGTCATCTCAGCACTTCGGGAGGCCAAGGCAGGTGGATCACTTGAACTCAGAAGTTGGAGACCAGCCTGGCCAACATGGTGAAACCCTGTCTCTACTAAAAATACAAAAATTAGCCTAGTGTTACATGCCTATAATTCCACCTACTTGGGAGGCAGAGGCACAAGAATTGCTTGAACCTGAGAGGCAGTGGCTGTAGTGAGCCAAGATTGTACCACTGTTCTCCAGCCTGGGTAATTGAGTGAGATTTTGTCTCAAAAAAAAAAAAAAAAAAAAAAAAAAAAAAAAGAATCCAAGATAATACACAAATTAAAAATAGTCAAAACCCAAGCCTGAAAGCATTAGAAATTTTTGTTATATATTGTCAGGAGGGCAATTTAGGACTATGCATTCCAAAGCCTCAAAATATCCTTAGAAAATAATTTAAGATATGAAAACAAAGCATTAATTGTAATGCTGTTTATTGTAGGGTTGTTCATGGTAGTTGATATGTATCATCCCATAGCTGCATAATAATACTGGAGGATACAGACTAGGCTAAATTTGCTGGGCACGGTGGCTCATGCCCGTAGTCCCAGCACTTTGGGAGGCCACGGCGGGTGGAGTTTGAGACCAACATGGGGAAATCCTGTCTCTACTAAAAATACAAAAATTAGCCAGGTGTGGTGGTGGGCGCCTTTAATCCCAGCTACTCGGGAGGCTGAGGCAGGAGAATCTCCTGAACCCGGGAAGCGGAGGTTGCAGTGAGCCAACATCACGCCACTGCACTCCAGCCTGGGTGACAGAGCGAGACTCCGTCTCAAAAACAAAACAAGAATAGACTGAATTAAAAACCAGGCATGTGGAGTGCTGCGTTTGTAAAACTAGCAAGAGGCTAAATGTCCACACACTTTAAAAAGACTGGAAAGATAATACAACAAAATGTTAACAAGGGTTGTCGCCACCTATTGGAATTATGGGCAATTTAAAAATTTGCCCTTTTCTAAAACTTTCCATTTCCTAAAGCTTATTTTTTATAACATATTTAAAATGGGGAGTTATTTTTTGTGTTTTCTTTTTTTTTACGTTGAGCATATAATACTTTTTAATGTAAAGATATAAGGCTGTGTTTGAAATAAATTTAAAAACATGGGGAAGATGGAAACATAACCAGAAATTTTTCTTTGTTAGGTTATTAACAGACAATTGAACCTTGGGTCTGTTCTAAGTTTTGTAACTCCAGACTTATGCAAAAAAATTCTTAATGTACACAGACTAACGATATTTTGAGAATAAAATATTTACGAGGGTACTTCTGATATGATGGATAATATAATAATTTCTCTTTTTTGTGTTATTTAATATGGCTTGAAAATCTCCTTTTCTTTTTTTTATTTATTATTATCTTTTTACTGTGGTATCTTCATTAATTTTTTTTTTTAATTAAAAAAATTTTTTTTAGAAAATCTCCTTTTCTTTACCTGAATGTCAATGTAAGATCCTCGGTCGGAACCTTGTTTTGTAGTTCTGGTTGTCCATTTTCTGCTTGTTTACTTGTATTCAATTTGCTTTTCATGTCCAGAGAACACTGGTTTTCCTTTGAAAGAAAGGAAATAAAATTCTATTAAATGGTGTTAGTGGGAGAGACCAAATTACAAATAATACAAAGTGATGATCCAGAAATCATATTTAGTTTTGTAAATAACCAAAGAAACTGGCAGACTAAAAGAGTGACATACATAAAAACATAACAGAATATATAACCCACTTGCTCACTAAACATGCTGAACAGTAAGAGAGGCAATGCCTCAAACATGAAAAAAATTTTCACAGAAAAAAACAATCACCTAGAAAAGTGGCCGGGCACAGTGGCTCACGCCTGTAATACCAGCACTTTGGGAAGCCAAGGTGGGCGGACTGCCTGAGGTCAGGAGTTTGAGACCAGCCTGACCAAAATGGCAAAACCCCATCTCTACTAAAAATACAAAAATCAGCCGGGCGTGGTTGTGCATGCCTGTAATCCCAGCTACTCAGGAGGCTGAGGAGGGTGAATCACTCAAACCCGGAAGATGGAGGTTGCAGTGAGCTGAGATTGCGCCCCTGCACTCCAGCCGAGATGACAGAGCGAGACTCGGTCTCAAAAAAAAAAAAAAAAAAAAAAGTAAACCCAAGTACAATAAATATCTATAACATACTTACTAAAAAAAAGCAAAAAAACCTGCAAACTCAATTTATTTGCCTAGAAAGATTATGAAAACTATGCAACAAAAAATAACAAATATCATGCAACCTAAGGAACTCCCTAAGATTCAAAATTTACTAAAATGAATGTGCACTATGAAGCAAACCCTAAGCATATTAATGGATATAGTTCCACAGAAAAGAATGTGCAGTTTGAATATCACTCATAGCAAAAATAGGTCATCATTATAAAGGCTACAAAACTAGAATGTTATTTAGTGAATATACCTTTATATAACATGTTATTGCAAAATAGTAAACACCATCCTATCTGCTTTCCTAATCAGTATGCTAAACAGAAATTTAAGAACTTCCAGTAAGTTCTTAAAGAATCATTAAAACCTTGTTTTCTCTAAAAGTTAATGAAGAATTCTAAGACAAAGAACACACCCAAACAAAAGAGAATGAGAAGAGGAATGATAAAACAGGAAGGTAGCCCACCTGCTTGAGAATTATTTTAAATATTAACCACTCATCAGAGTGTCTTGAAGTGATGATTCTGTAGCTCCAGATAATTCTAGAGCCACATGAAAGATTTCATTTCACCTTCCCCCTTTTTTCCCTGTGTAACACTCACCATATTCAGTTCCCGTGTTCTCTTCCCGATTTCCCTTTCCACTTGGTGCAGTTCCAAGCTCAACTGCTCACTTGAGATCATTCCAGGCCATTTTGGAGGTTGTGGTGGTGGAGGCTGTGACTGGCCTGCCAGGGTGTTTGCCTCCCTCTGCAACACCAGCCTGTTACTAACAGCCTAGTGCATAAAGCCAAGCACACAGAAAACTCAACACACTTCACACCATGCACAGAATAACCAGGCTCAATTCCAGACCACAGCCTTAAGCAGCGTATCACCCAGCTATTTGCAAAAAAATAATGCAAATGTAAGGCACTGTTCTCTTTGAGTACTGTTTGAATAAAAAAAAGAACAAAACAGGGACATTTAAATTTAGTCAACAGTAACTTCATCTTAAATTGCTTTTCTTTTCTGATTTGAAAGAGAAGTTGGCCGCACATGGTGGCTCATGCCTTTAATTCCAGCACTTTGACAATTAAAAGGGAGGGTGCGGCAGCAGGATCACTTGAGGCTAGGAATTTGAGACCCACCTGGGCAACATTATCCAGACCTCACCTCTACCAAAAAAAAAATAAATAAATAAAATAAAATAAATAGGGCCGGGCGCGGTGGCTCAAGCCTGTAATCCCAGCACTTTGGGAGGCTGAGGTGGGTGGATCACGAGGTCAAGAGATCGAGACCATCCTGGTCAACATGGTGAAACCCCGTCTCTACTAAAAATACAAAAAATTAGCTGGG